AAACTGCATAATTAAATTCAATTAGGCTCATAAAATATGAATCTAATCCCAATATGAAGAATGACCAGAGCACTAATGGCCTGCCTGAATATAAACTTACGCCTCACATCTCCTCGCAGTATTGCAATTGGCGTAATAACCACAAGCTTTTATGACTCAATAAGTCGGGGAAAAGATTGCACAATTAACAAATGGAACAGCCCTGCCCTTCAAATGCCTTGTGTCTTTCCTGGATTTGAGCTGTCATCAACACTCAGAGGTCATGGGGTCAAACTGGGAGAAGCAGGAAGTGGACAGTGACCACAGAGCGGACGAATCAGGCAGGGCTAGACTCCAGGACCCAGAAGCGCATTGTTCCAAAACCGAGCAATTAAAGCTAAATTACCACAAGCGACCGCAAAAGCACAAGAGCTGTAGTTTTATCCTTGTGATCAGAGCGGACGGGAGCAGGGTTAGGGGAAGTTGGTAGCGCGACTGCCCAGGAAAGACGCATCCTGCTGGGACAAAAGAGGGGCGCGAGTGGGGCATGTTGATTTTGTGGTGGAAGTCCGGGCAAACTATAGAAAAGAGGAAAAGTCCCTTCATCGTGGTCGGATTGGGGCTTGTAATTAGACATAAACCGTAAAAAGAATAGGGAATTAAAGGGATTGGAAGTTTATAATAGAAATGTAGTAAATCTAGAGTTTCTGAAAAATCCAATGTAATTTAGTAAGTCTGTCTTGGCTTCTATGACGTGGTCGTTAAAATGCCTTAGATACAAAAGGAGATCATATATTTAGAATCAAGAGTGACAAAATTAAAATGTTTAACTTCATTTCTATACTAAAGGAAACATTTAAAGATGCACTGTGTCATTTGGTGGGTGGTCTATTGCCACTTTACCTGAAATGTTTCACTATATACCATTAGGGTTGTCAAAAGTACTGAAAATCTGATACAAATAGATAAGAAACCAGACACTAATCAAAACTAGAATCATCTGAGCAGGTATCAGTACTTAAAAGTCACACAGAATGATCTTGAGCTGTTTCAGAACAAGTATAAGAGCACATAGACTAGTATATGTCCATGGAACACTGTGGAACCTACTTGGACGATTACCATATTTTTCAGATTATAAATTGAACTTTTTTTATGGTTTGGGTGGTCCTGCAACTTATACTCTGGTGCAACTTATATTATTATATTAAAATTTGACAGCCGTGAGAGGGCGCTCTAGTCTTGTGTGTCAGTATCTACTACTCTTATTACTCCTGTTCCACTGTCACTTCGCTCTACTGCACATGTCTCCTGCAGAAGAAAGAGAAACAGCCACGGTCCAGTCTGTATCATGTCAGTCGATTACACCATTACATCTGTATCACTGACAATTTAAAATGTAAACAAACATAAAGACAACTGAAACCATCCTGCCGGGATTCAGAAAGGCTGGAATAATTCTAACTGGAACTGATGTCGAGTCTGACAACAGCTACACAGAAGAGGAAGCGGCGCTCCGTTTACCTCCGGAGGTTGCGACTTATATGTTTTTTTCTTCTTCATTACTCATATTTTGGCTGGTGCGACTTATACTCCAGAGCGACTTATAGTCCGAAAAATACGGTACACACAGACCACATTGTAGACCACATGGTAATATAAAAAGTACCATAATTTCCAGACTATTGAGCACACCTAAATATAAGCCGCATCAACAAATGTGTGAAGAATCCCTCAGTCGTCCAGGTAGAATCCATGGTGAGGAGAAAATTCAGTTTGTCGATTGGACAAAAGTTTGTTTGTTTGAAGATGTTTCGCAGCTCATCCAAGCTGCTTCTTCAGTTCTCAAAAAAGTCTTCAAACAAACTAACTTTTGTCCAGTCAACAAACTGAATTTTCTCCTCGCCCGCATCAACAAAATTAAAAAACAAAAAAAAATGTACATATATATGCTGCATTTGTCTATAAGCCGTTGTGTTCCATCTTCATGTTAACTGCACACAGTGGCGCTTTCTGCACTCGGGCTGCGCACACATCCTCTGTGTTAATAAACAAGTAATCCGTCTGAATTAGTCACATCATTGTTTAAGCCGCAGGGTTCAAAGTGTGAGAAAAAAAGCTTTTAGTCTGGAAATGATGGTACTAAAAAGTGTCTGCCAGTAATTTTAATATCATTGTGATACTGGAACTGGCATTGACATCTGACTGGATGCCCTCCCGTCCTTGATGTCCCAGTTTTTTTGGTTGTTTTGTTGTGATTTGTTGTTACGCCCGTTTGCTGCTGCACTGATATTATTACTAGCACTTTATTCTACTGTTTACATAGTGGGTGTAATGTTTACCTGGTGGGTGTCATAAGGTGGGTGCTCTACACTATTATGCACTTTTAAAACTTGACTTGGCCTGGTGACGTCTTATGCTTAACACCAGACTGTATCCATGGAGAAACTTCAAAGTTACATAGAGTACTTTTAACAGTAAATAACACTAGATTATTTAGTATTACAATGTGGTTTCATACTAGTCCTGATATTGAAGAAGACTATTTTAAATTATCCAGGCAAGGTCTGATTTTGTCTGTTCCAATATGCATAAACTTCTGATGTAAGTTTTAGTAATGTATCTGTAATGTGAGTTTTTATAACACATAAGTACACATAATGGATCTGACAAAGTGAAATAACTCCTAGGGAACTTTTTGGATCACAATTCAGGATTCCCATACTTTGCTTGAAATCATTTTCCAGGATGCTTTAAATTATGTAATCACAACCCTTTTTATCTATCTAAGATTCAGTTTAAGTTTATCCGTCCACAATGATAGCAAATGAATTACAAATTATATTCACATATTATTCATATATTATACATTTGCTTTTAAATTTTACTCCATTATTTAGACATAGGTCACCCAAATATGTTTCAAAACCTGAAGATATTTTAGTTTGTTTGGGGGTATTGTGCGTTTAGGGAACCACGTCCAAGAAAGTTTGTACAAAAGAGGTGTAACTTCTTGTGTTTTAGTGGGTTTTAGAGAGTTTTTTGGAAATCCCCAACTGCTCTTTTGTACTGTGGAGGCAGTAACAGTTTGTTTCGAGGACAAAATCTCTGCAAAACAGTCCATTATTATTATGAGAATAAATGTTGAGGGGCAGTATATTTTTCCTGTGCCAACTAAACTACTGTATTTGCCAACAAAAAGCAAACTTGGTTGTTTTGAGGAGGCTGTGGCTGTCAGCGATGCAGCACGATGATGAAATCCCCTGCTGCAGAATCTGTCACCATACTCACAGCTTCTGCAGTGTCATCTCTAAAAGTGTATCCCCCTCACAGGCCCTTATACAGTGCACCACATCAAGACTCAAGACTGCTATTCTTCCACTTTCTGCAGGCGGCTGGTGAACCTCAAGACCCGCCCACGACCTCTGCTCTGGACCAATCAGGTGTGGACTTTCCCCTGAGTTTACCCTCATTACTACCTGTCAGGATGGAGGATACAGGAGAGTGAAGTTTACCTGCAAACCTGAAAGAAAGCACAAAAAGAAAACCTCTGATTAGTTTCCAATGCCACCGTTACAAAGATTACAAGTATACACACATGTACTGTTAAATCTGATCACTTTTTAGCAAAGTTAAAAGTACAGAATATTTGTACGTTATTATTTCACAAACATAGCCCGTGTCCTCAGATGATACAAGGTAAAAATATCCACATCAAATATTCTTACAGGCTACAGTTCTGACAGTGATTGACAGGTTTTCCACTCTTTTCCACTGACAAAATTTTAAAAACTTTTCCATGACTTTTTCATGACCTAAAGTGAATTTTTCATGACTTTATGGCACCTACATGTGTAGAATTGATCAGACTTTTAGGGCTAAATATGAAATGTTAACTCTTTCCACTCACTTTATGGCTTGGTATTATATGGCAAGGAGAAAAATCAGTTTGTTGACGGGACAAAAATTACTTTGGTTGTTGGTTGTTAGTTTTGGTTAACTAACTACTGCAGTTAGTTATCTCCTCCCTGCAGACAGATATAAGGAAGTGTCCACCAGCATTCTGACCAGAACTGAAGTAGCAGCGTGGGAAGAGCTGCGAAACGTATTCAACCAAACTAACTTTTGTCCAGTCGACAAACTGATTTTTCACCTCACCATGGGTTCTACCTGGACGACGAGGGATTTTTCACACTTCGTTTGGTTTATAGTTTTTTAACATTCAAAATACTGTTAGTGCATTTATTGTCATCTCTTTTAAACAAAAGGCAAACGTTCGGAAATAATCATAATAGCCTAATGATAACTTAACAGAACGCTGTAGTAACGTGAAAGAGATACTAAAATTCCAAGACTTTTCCATGGGAACTCTGGATTGATGATGGTCAAGCTTTTGATTATTATTGTTATAAATTGGCGTTTTACTTCTGTTTTGAAACTGGTAACCCAAAATGGATCTCACATAAGTCTCTTATTTGTGTTGCCAGTTTCAAAATCCAGTTGGTTTAAACCTAAAATGTCTCTCTCTGATCTGATTGGTCACTACCTAAACCTCAGCTCCCACAGCCAATCATGAACCAATGCAAGTGCAGCCTTTGCAGCTCAGGGAGGGAATTCTGAAGGTTCTGAACTTTCACATGAGGCCTGTCCATAAACTGAGAAAGAGAAAATCTTGTATGTGTCCTCTCTGGCAACCCAGGTTCAGCTGTGATGTACTCTCCAGTCTCCAACTATGATCTAACTAAGTCAAATATTTACCTTAACTGAGGCTTTACCATCACTCGCTGCACTAAGGTTCACCATATTATTCCCCACATCTCTGCTCTGTGCCACATTTAACAGCTTTGGCAGAACTTAAACCAAATCCTAATTTCAAAAACACCAGAATAACACAGTTCTTAAAAGTATAGACAGACCAAAACCTAACACCCTATTACACTGACTGGCCAGACTAGAGAGTTTCTATGAATAAACGCCTTTGATAATGTTGTTGGCATTGATCAGACGCTTGGTTTGTACTTACTGCTCGGGCATGGACTTCTGCCTCCAGTGGGCGGAGCTGCCGGAGGTCTCGCTGGAGCAGGACAGGTTACTGGGGGAGCTGCGGTTGTGAGGGGAGCGGCCCAGAGCCAGAGAGGAGGCCAGGCTGTAGGACTCACTGCCCGGGGACATCCTGGTACAAGGCACATAAGGACAAGAGTCAAAAAGCAAAGACAAAGACAAGTGAAGGGCTAATTTGAGAGACAAAGTGATAAAGATTCACTAATAGTCCGGTCAGTGCTGCTCTATGTAAATACACAGACACTTTTCTACACCCACTCGTCCTATTGATCAGTCTTGGTTAAAGAGGGGGTATTAACTGCTGGCATATAACATACTTAGATCTCCATGTGACCTTTTATTGTTGCTATAATAAAAAGTAACATGTGTAACAAATGCTAGAACCAATTATAAACATGTTTTATAAGTCCCTATGAAACTACTGCACATCACATCAGGTTTGTGAAGTTGTAGTGTATTGTTTTGTGTCATGCTGTAGGAAAAAGGGTGATGTGAGCTTCTGAGCATAACCGTGTACAGACTCGTACTGCTGATCGTGTGAAGAGTTCTAATAGGGCCTGCTAGATTATTCAAACATGCATAGAGGCCATAATAAAAAACTATAGTGAGGGAACATTATAACACGGTAGAAAGTACCAAAAAAAAAAGACTTCTTAAAGAGTTGAGTGAGACACAGGTGGATTTCACCAGTGACAGTGAAGTGTGACCTCTGACGATGCTGATGAGGAAGCTGATGTGTTACATAAGCAGCTCTTGAGGTTAAAATAAGGCAGCTGTGTGATGTCTGCATCTAATTAAAACGTATTTTAAAGTAAGTATTTTGTCTGATAATCAGGAAGGGTGTGTTAGAATGCAAGTTGGTCAAAGAAAAATAAGTATCAGTGTAGGGAGTAACACGTTATAAAAGTAACGAATTACTGTAATGCGTTGCTTTTTACTGTAATGCAGTAATGTGGCATTACAGGGAAAAATGGTAATATTTTACTTGGTACAAATGTCAGTATCGCGCATTACAGTGCTTTTTTAACCTGGATTGAAGTGGTGGGTTTTTCGTTTTTCTTATACAAATTCAATAAAATCACCGCGGTGTCAGTAATGATATCAGCAGCAGTGAAACGCCATCCTTACGGTTCCGAAAATCGGGACGGGCCCGGTGGTGCACCCACGTAGTCAGGTGACTGCGGGAGAAAGAACTGGCGCAGAGCCCCGTGCTCCAGGAGGCTACTTGAGGGTGAAACCTAATCGCGCTTTGCAGACACCCTGCTCCACGTGCTCGGGGTTCTCTCAGGGGCGGTCCTAGATTCCAAATTCTAGTCCAAGATTAGTCCTAGTTTGGTTCTGGTTTAGTCCTGGTTTAGTCTTGGTTCAGTTCAGTATACGGCGTAAAAATTCTGCATCTTCACTCACTGTTATTTGACAATCAGTGACAGTTATTTTGGTGACAGAAACTTAAAGTGCTGCAATAGTCGTGTAATGTCTTACATTTTAAACACAGTAATATTGTAATGTAACAACTTACTCTGAATTGACAGTAACAAGTGATAAATAACACATTACAGTTTTAAAGTAACTTGCCCAGCAGTGATAAGTACACATGTATCAGAACACTTAATGCATAATGCACATGTTTTTTTCTTATTACAGTTCAAAAAGGAGTGTGAAGAATAAAATGTACTAAATAGCATCCCTGTTGTGAAAAGCGTTTATAAACTGTGTTTAGGTAATTAGGATGCAAAATAACTTTGGACCACTTCAAACCGTTTAAAATGTACTAGTTCTGTTTTTCAGGTTTATAAGACTGTAAAAATCAGGTACAGCCTTTCATTATGTGGCGTCTGTCCCACCCCTTCATCCACGACGGAGAGCAGTGCAGAGTGTTTGTTCAGAGGAAATGCCATCGATTGCTCAGAGCAGCTCAGGTTCCAGCACAGTCTGGAGGAACCACTGATTACATTTAAGCACTTTGAAAAGGGCCTTTGAGGTGATGCGGGTAATAATACCACGTCTATATGACTTAGGTTTCATTTAAAGAAGTCGATTTACAATAAGGACAGTTTCATATTGTGCATGATGCATTTGATTTCAATTAGTTTACAGCAACACTGCGTAACTTTCAAGAGATGGAACATCACCTGCACGATTCCACAGAAACAGAAAGTAACAGTACTTCAGGAACATTCTGTACAGAGATGTTTTATGCCATACTGTGGAATAACATTTCCATGGAAACAAGCGGAAGACCCTCCTGATCAAAAAAAGAGTCAGGTTTGTAGAAACACAAGGACACATGTTTTTCAGTGCAATAAAAACATGAAAAATATTTATATAAAAGCTACATGTAAGGAACTTTTTTTTTCTTATATGGTCATTTTCAGCATTGAATAAGCTTGGTTTGCATGAGTAATGTCAACTTAGATGCTACTTTGTGATTCCTTCATGCCATAGTACTTTTTCTGCAAACTAAAATATATACAACCAGTGCTAAAATCTCATTATTTCCAATCGTAACGTAGCAACCTGGAAAAAAGAAGCAATGAAACCTACTAACAAACTGGACATTTTTTATATTAGAGACTAAAGATCATAAGATTGAAGAGGATTAAAATATAATATCTTCAATGTGACGTTAAAGGTGACCTGAGCAACTTTTCTGAGGGTCCACAATGTACTCGTCTCCATGGAGATGTTATTGCTTTCCCTGAAATGTTCCATGGTATGACTTTAAACATATCCATCGAGCATTTATTCATTACGGGTGTTTCTATGACTCAAAAATACAATAATTCCTTCTGTGAATAGGGGCGACTCTCCACAGATCTGAACTGTAATGTAGCGTACTGCTGTGACCCGCTTGTCTCCCTTGTGATAGATAAATTTAATCTATACTGTGGAACATTCTAGACTAGGCCGGGCAACTAATTGAAATTTGATTGAGATTTTTATTTGTGTGTCAAACGATCTCCAAACTCATATAATCAAGTTGAAATGATTAAGCTTAACAAAGTTTATTTTGGGATATTTTTTATGTGTTATTTTATTTTTTGAATATAGAGATTGTAGAACAGCTGTATATATAGTTTATTTATGTTTTTCTATGCCTTATTTTATGTTCAAAGTATATTTTATTCATTTTATGTGCTCTAAGGTTCATATTTGTAGCCTATATTTGTTTTAAATTTGAAAGTTTTGCGTAAATTATCAATAACAAAGTGTTTTATGAGAGAGAAATGATGGATAAATGCATCGTGTAACTAAAAAAAATAACCGTTTGAATAATCTTGATTTCAATATTGACCAAAATCATGGTGATAATGATTTATTCCATTATCGAGGAGCCCTTTTCTAGACAAACCCATAACATTTCCACGGAGACAAGCTGGCGGCAGAACCTCTACTAGAAATGTTACGACTTGTTACTCAACACAAGGTCCAATATTTTCAAAACCCTGGGCTAAATCAGACCTTCCGTTTATTCCGTTTATTCCAGTACCCCTGTGTGTAAAACATCCTCAAACCGTCATTACCTCTTGGAGTCCAGGGGGCGCCCGTCACTGCTGACACTGCGGGGGATCGCCGCTCCTCTCTCCAGTCTCTCCGCGGACAGAGTCTTGCCCACGGAGCTGCCCAGACTGATGGCCCTGTTGGGGGTGTGGGGCTGCGGGGAGGCGGTCAGGGACTGCTGCGGGCTGCTGGACGTGCGCTGCCACTTGTTGTTGTTGCTGCGGAACGGGAACTTGTACTCGAAGGATCCGCTGTCGTTACTGCTGCTTTTGTATTCGCTCATGGGCAGGCGGTAGAGCTCCGAGCAGCCCCTGTGGAGAGACACGGAGATTAAATGTGTTGGTTTTGCTTTTGAATCCGTGTATCATTCGTTTTTCATTTTCATTCACTATTTTCGTCATTATTTGTCTCCAAAACCAAAATGAAAAAAAAACAGATAATGATTTGTTTTTTCAGTTTTTGAGTTTGTGTTTAAATGAATAATGGGGAAAAAAAAAACGATAACAGCCATTTCCCGTTTCTGTGACTTAAACTGCAATGCTGAACTGAACCAGGACTGAATCGAGACTGAATCAGGACTAAAACATGACTAAACCAGGTCTAAACTAGGACTGAACCAGTACTGAGTGTCGGGATGGGCCCAGAGATGCGCCCGCGTAGACTGTCGGGTGATCAGGATGGGACCAGAACCGGGACCAGACCGGGACAGAAACTGGGAGTGAGACCGGGACAGGGATCAGACTGGGACTGAGACCGGGACTGAGACCGGGACTGAGACCGGGACTGAGACCGGGACTGAGACCGGGACCGAGACCGAGACCGAGACTGAGACCGAGACTGGGACCAGACTAGGACTGAGACCAGGACTGAGACTGGGACAGAGCCCGGGACTGAGACCGAGACTGGGACTGAGACCGGGACTGAGACCGGGACTGAGACCGGGACTGAGACCGGGACTGAGACCGGGACTGAGACCGGGACCAGACTAGGACTGAGACCAGGACTGAGACTGGGACAGAGCCCGGGACTGAGACCAAGACTGGGACTGAGACCAGGACCAGACCAGGACCAGAGACCGGGACTGAGACCGGGACTGAGACTGGGACCAGACCGAGACTGAGACTGGGACTGAGACTGGGACCAGACTAGGACTGAGACCAGGACTGAGACCGGGACAGAGACCGGGCCTGAGACCAAGACTGGGACTGAGACCAGGACCAGACCAGGACCAGACAGGGACTGAGACCGGGACTGAGACCGGGACTAGTTTAGTCCTGGTTCAGTCCTGGTTAAGATCTGGGATCAGTCCGGGTTTAGACCTGGTTTAGACTTTGTTTAGACCTGGTTCAGTTCAGCATTGCAGTTTAAGTCACGGAAACGAGAAACGTCCATTATCTGTTTTTTTCCATTATTCATTTAAACACAAAATCGAAAACTGAAAAAACGAATCGTTATCCATTTTTTCATTTTGGTTTCGGAGACAAATAATGAAGAAAATAGTTTTTTTTTTTTTTTCTTTTTTTGGTTTTGGTTATGATACACGGGCCTTATGAGTACAAGAGTTATACAGACAGATATTAATTCATTCTCACGTTCATTCACTTTGAGCTATTTTCCAATATTTGTTATTTTGGTTAGGCAATATGACGATAAAATATTTGATAGACTGATTTTATGCAACTCTATTGTTTGTATTCTGCCCACTTTTGCTTCTAAATACTACTAAACCACACTTTTCTTTGTGGTGGCACTTCCGGTTGAGCAGCAATCTCATTCATATCAATGGACAATGGAGAAAAGTCGCTAAAATATGAAGTCTGGGAAGCTTTAATCGGCTTTGTTGTCTGTACAAAATTTATTTGCTGTCAAGATCAGCGCCATCCAAAATAACACAACCCCAATGACGAAAGTGGCACCTGCATCTCCTGTTGGTGTGATTGACAGGTGGCTTTAACAGATCACAGTGAAATATGTACTTTCAGAGAAGCCAGTGATAAAAATGTAAAACGTTGTGATTTTTATTTATTTTTTTGGACCACTTCTACGAACCTGCATCAGAATACTTAAATGTTAATCTACTGTATGCTTATTCTATCTGTCTCTATTAAAATAAACAATAAATAAATAATAAATATTAATCGAGTTCTGCACATTTATCAATCTGGAATGGCTCGCAACGCAGAATTTCATCATGAATATTTGGATCTGATTGGTCAACAGCAGAGCAAGCCGAAAAACCTTTGTTACATCCAACTGAGATCTTCCAGGACCAACTTTTAGATTCACAGGGAAAGTCAAAGCCCAAAAGATGTAAGAAAGACATGCAATACCAGTCAAAAGTTTTAGAACACCCTATTTTTTTTCAATTATTTATTGCACCTCAAGTCGTGTAAGTCCAATGAAGAGCTTGAAATGGTACAAAGGTAAAAACTGAAGAGCCAGAGGTTAAAAAAAAGATAAAAGATAAAAGTCTAAGATCTGCCAAAACCTCAGGAAAAAAACAAGATGTAAGCTTGAAAACATGGAGCGTCCAGCAGAGTCTCCAGACTTAAACCCCATCGAGCTGGTTTGGGATGAACTGGACAGACGAGTGAAAGCCAAGAAACCTACAAGTGCCACACATTTATGGGAACTTCTGCAACAGACTTGGGAAGAACTTTCTGAAGAATATTTGATTTCTGTTGTAAAAAGAACGAGCCACGAGTGTGTTCAGCTGTCATATCTGCCAAAGGTGGACACTTTCATGAATCAAAAGTTTAGAATATGTTTTGATCAATAGACATTTAAAAAACTGGAAAAAGTGTGGTGTTCTAAAACTTTTGACCGGTACTATAGGTTGGACTCGTGCTTCTCTGCCTTCAGTCTAAATAAGCCCATACCTGCGTGGAGTGGCGTCCTCGTGCGGTGGGATGATGACCACGCGGACCGCTACGGACGTCCTGAGCAGGTCGATCATCTGCTCGTGTGTCAGCGTCGCCACGGAAACCTTACAGATCTCCACCAATCGGCTGCCCTGCCTGAGCCCGGCCTGCCACGCGTATCCATACGGCTCCACCTGCAAAACACAAACAGGGTTAAGAATAAAAAGATTGTAACTCAAATGCTTCGAGGTAATTCCAGCTACATCTACCAGAATGATCAAAGCTTTAGTCTGTGGTAAAATAACACGGCATTAGTTTTTTGTGATTTAAACAGTAAATTGTCTTCATAATTTCATAATTCACTTCATAATTTATTATTTGAAGTGCCTGTGCAGGATTTTTTCCATTTTTGTTCCAGTACAGTTACCATATTTTTTGGACTTTAAGTCGCTCTGGAGTATAAGTCACACCAGCCAAAAAATGCATAATGAAGAAGAAAAAAAAACATATTTAAGTTGCACCGGACTATAAGTCACACTTTTGGGGGGGAAAATTGATTTGTTAAAATCAGAGACCAGGAAGAAACATTTCATCTTGAAAGGCAAATTATAGTAATAACTAGACTAGGGAAAACAGGCTGAATATGTATGGTATTTGTATTTTAACATAACATATGAACAGTTCTTCAGATAATTATAGCATAAACAACAGAACAAGTTTACCAAACTCTCCATCTCACTCCAAATCATTAAATCCATTGAATTTTTTATCCACAGTGTCACTTCTGAGCAACTGCGCGGCATCCGGACATAAACAGAGCGCCGCTTCCTCTTCTGTGTAGCTGTTGTCAGACTCCGCATCAGTTCCAGTTAGAATAATTCTGGCCTTTCTGAATCCCAACAGGATGGTTTTGATTGTCATTGAATTCCAGGCTTTGTCAATCCATCCAATGACTTTCAGGAAAGTTGCATGTTGCACCCTCCCAGTGTCACAAGTTTCTCGCTCACTCCAAACTTTGTTTCTGCTGCTCGATTACTGTTTTTGGCTGCACGTTTTGCTACTTTCAGCTTGAATTCTGCAAAATATAATTTTCTTTTGGGGGGCATTTGTGTTCAGTCTTCTCAGTCGTCTTTATGTTTGTTTAAATTTAAAAATTTCAGTGGTACAGAAGTAATGGTGCGATCGACTGACATGATACAGACAGAACAGAGGCTCTTTCTGCAGGAGACATGTGCAGTAGAGCCAAATGACAGTGGTACAGGAGTAATAGGAGCAGCAGATACTGAGACACAAGCCTAGAGCCTCTCGCGGCTTCAGCGTGAAAACTTTAATATACAAGTTGCACCAGAGTATAAGTCGCAGGAAACACCCAAACCAACTCATAGTCCAAAAAATACGGTACATTGTAAAAGTAGCTCTTGAGGTCAAAATGAATCTTCTGTGTGCTGTCTGTTAATCATAACACATTTTAGAGAATCAGGAAGTGCGTTATAAGCATGCTAGTTGTTTTTAGTTTTACCATGACAGCAACAGTTAGGAAAGTTGATGCTGGGAATACATTAAGAAAGTGAGGAATAACTTTGGACCATCGCAAAAATTCTAAAATGAGCAAGTTCTGTTTTTCACATTTTTAAAAATCAGATACAACTTTTTTTTTTAAAATACAGACAAGCTATAAAGATATTTTGGCTTGAGTAAGGACTAAGACTCACTCAGCCTCAGCCAATTATTTCAAAACCAGTGCAAAGTAATTCAAGTTGGAACCCACACATGAAGTTAAAACTTAAGAGCTCAAAAATGTGAAAACTATTACCAACAGATGTGAATTCAGTCTCATTTCTATGTTATTTGCGCTAATATAGACTCATTTACCTCTGCAACGATGCCTTCATAGTTCACGTGGAATCCCAGTTGTCCCAGGCCATTCCTCCGCAGGGTCATCTCTGTCGTCTCACATCCCTTGGTCAGATACTGCACAAGAACAAGGCAAAAACACAAAATGAACACAGATTCCTCCACGAACAAGATAATAGTACATTTCATTAGTACAAAATAGGGATGGGTATTCGATTAAATTTTCGATCGTTAGAGAATTAACAATTGATTATCGATGAATCATTATTGTTTTTAATCATCATCATTATTATTACTATCTGCACTACTAATCTGCATAAATAAATTCAACTTTACGACATATAAACCGTAACGACTCTAGAGCCACATCAGCCCGGTTGAGATTATAATGTGTTTAATGCAGTTTTGCGCAACTCTCACAGAAACGAAACTTACAACCGCATGACAAATTTGCATAAATTAAGCAAAGAAAAAAACAGCTCTTGTGGCTGATGCGGCATGACTCAGGTGAATACAGGTTAGTGTGACCATATTTGAGTATTTGAGTTTGTCAAAACCAGGACACCGTACGGGGGGAGGGAGGTGGGGACATTGCGCGACTCTCACCTGGCAAAACTTTTTCCCACTGGACACCGAAACATATGTGCTGCTTTGTACACTGTGCACATGGACTCACACTTGTCCCGAACGCAACGGAAAGTGTGGAATTTCTTGTACAAGTCATCGTTAAATACACATTTGCGCTTCGGTACGCTGCAGACTGACCGAATGTTTGTGTTTCGCTCCTTCTGAGTGCAGAGACACATGTACAGACCCCTGTTTGGTCACGCTACGCACAGCAACCTACATTCGGTTTGTCGATTAAAATGAACGTAATCGATGAAATCCTTAATGATCAAATATCGGTTAATCGACTAATCATGCCCATCCCTAGCACAAAGATCATTAGTAGTCCAATGAGGTTCATTTGGTCTTCTGATATTTTATGTTATTAGATTATTTTTTCAGACCAAGAGTTTGTTTTCATACCTGACAGTTTTAGTCTTCCTCAGAGTGGCCTCGTGATGTTGCTGTGAAATCTCGCTCAGCTGATTTATACAGGTTTTGGCGCCGTCTTTCTACTGGTGAAGGCAGTATCCCATGTGTGAGAGTAAAACAGCCCCTCTCGTCCCGGTTTACAGTTCTGTGGGCACGTTTCTGTATTTCGATTAATCCAGCGAAATTTTTTCACTCTCACACACCTTGGATACTGTCCTGAGGAAGTCTGACTGCAGATGGCGCTGTCGTCCTGCCTCCGCCGGTACGAAGACGGCGCCAAAACCTGTTTAAATCAGCCGACCAGACACGTCACAGCAACATCACGAGACCAGATCTGAAGAAGACCGCGAGTGAGCAATCGAAACTGTCAGGTATGAAAACAAACTCTTGGTCTGAAAAAAGAACCTAATAACATAAATATGATTAGTAACTGTAGAGATCCAGTAAGGGAAAGCTTGGGTAACCTGACTCTTCATTCGTTTAAAGATGCATTATCGAAACATTCTCACATACCAAGAAATGAAACTCTACTTATGGAGTGGGTCAATCGAGTCTATCTGGACATTTCCTATCAAGAGCACATTCACGGAGAGTTTGAGGATAGCTCAGAGACTCAACTAAAAGCCTTTCTAAAGGAGGAGAAATTTAGGCGTGTAAATAAAGCCCTGAAACTCAGACAAAAGAAAGGTCTAGCCAATAAAAGATGCTATAATGTTGTTTCACTTGAAAATCAGCCGGAGTGTGTCTATGGTTGTCGGGAACTCCTACATCCAGAGGCTTTTTTGCTTCTTCTGTCCAATTTTACTGACCTTCGCCTGCACTGCCTCTGCTCTTCTGATGATAACGAACAAGAAAAGACAAAAGAAAATGTAAAACGAAATGAAAAAGACACGTCTGATCGTGAGTTGTTGTGTGTATTGTAGAGTCGCCTGATTATGCTGTTAGATGAAGATGTTTATTTAATTCAATGGAGTGTAATTTAAGGCCATCAAAGAATTTTCTGTGTGTAACTTAGTAGGCAAACAGTAAGAAAGCACAGCAAAAATCTGAATTTGTTTCTCTTAGTGAAACTATCAATTTTAAAAGTCCTATATGGCGCGAAATTGACGAAACTGTGAGCTTTCAGTCATGTTAGAATGATTCTGATGATGATGATGAACAGCAAAAGACAAAAGAAAATGTAAAACGAAGTGAAGAAACCACCTCTCCTGAAGAATCCACATCAAATATATAATCATAACAACAGATTAGAAGTGGAAAACACACTAAAATTTAATGGTTGACACCAGCAGGCCAAGTTACAAGCCAGATCTGTGGAGAGGTGACCCCACTCAGTAAGTTTTTCAAAGACATTTATTAACACTAAAACACCTGTAGCGGAATAAATGCAGCAGAGAAGTTTAATGGCATATGGTGAAAAAGTCCATGAAAACAGCCCGCACTACTGTAATTCTAAAGCTTTTTATTGTTTGATCAGGAAGTGTGTGGTTAGCATGAGAGTTTCTAGCTTTACAGAGATGGTAAAACTACTATCTGGGTTTTATTATCTGGTCTCTGGGAGTTGTAGAAACCGCTTATAAACTAATAAATGCAACAAAAAATAAGGAATCACAATGGAGACAAGAAGGTGGCAGATCTTCCACTAGAAAAGTTACATAGTGCATCTTTAAAAGGCCCTGTACTTGATGTTTTTACCCCAAATATTTGAGCAAAATGTGTCTTGCTCCAGTACAGATAGATTTTATAAGCCAATCTTGAGGTCAAAATGTACGCTGTGTACTGTCTGCATCTAATTATAAAGCGTTTTATTGTCAGATCATCAGGAAGTGCGAAGTTAGCATGCTAGTTGTTGTTTGCTTCAGTCCGAAAGTTGAGAAAAATGCTTATAAACTCATCGAGGTGAATAATTGGAACGCTGTAAGGACTCGTTTTGGACCAAAAGTTAAAAATTAAAAACGAGTTCTTTTCACGTTTTTAAGACGGTAAAAATCAGGTAGAGCGAATTTAACAAGCAAACTGACAAACTCAAGTCGATAAATGTGTCTGCAGTCTGGCACCCGATATGAATGGCTATGTTGCGTTGGCCTCTGCAGCACACAGCAGCCAGAATAAAGTACAAACAAGAAAAAAAAAAAGGAAAAAAATCTAGCGAGAAACCTCCACACGCCCAAGGCCAGAGAGCCGCTGTCCTTGGCACAAAGCTCCTTCGAATGATTGAAGATAATGGCCAGAGGAACTGAAAACTGAAAATGGAGATGGTGACGATTTTGATGTGTGTTCTGAGACTTCTTGGACTTGCGGCTTAACTAATAATAAAATAATGAAATATACTCGGGGGAAGACAGATTTTCTCAATTACTTCTGAGTAGTTCTTATAAGTTCATTAGTAAGTTTATAAGTGAGACTGCTTAAACTGTTCTGCATTTGTACAAACATTTTCTGATCGAGGGAACACCACTTATATAAATGTTATTGCCATGTCTAGAATGTTCCACAGTATGACATTAAAGAGGTGGTATTACACTTCTATGGGGTAGTAATTGCCAACACATAACATATTTCGATCACCATGTTACCGTTTATTGTTCTAAAAATACTATATTTGCCAAAAACAATACATTAACGTGATTCATTTGTTTCAGTTTCATTTTTGAAGCTCTAATACCCCCTCCCCTTTGCTCTCCATGCTATGTCACTCCCCCTTCAGAGCGCTATCTCAACGCCTCCTTGCGTTTGTGACCCCCTCCCCTCTCATGTTGTCTCATTGAATACAGAGACGCCCAAAACCAGTCCGGAGGATATAAAACTCATCTCAAAAAAGGACAATTGGCTCCGTTATATGGAGATATTTCGGTTTTAAGGCGTCGGACAAACAACAACATAAAGGTGTCTACTGCCGTGAAAGCTACTACCACCACGAACCTTTTCCACCATTTATAGACAAGATAATCAGCAGCACATCCTCCGTCACAGAGAAAACCATAGATCCATGGAGAGAACATGTATATTCCACTAAGTCCTGTCCTGACAAGTAGTGAACTGCTTTTTTCAAGTGCAGCTGCATCTTGCCAGCTCTCACTGTGGCAGGTCGGGTCAGAGTCCTGCACCAAGGTACCATCGGGTACCCGCGGACTTAAAAGAGAGAGAGCACCCTGAGCACGCGGACCGGGGTGTCAGTAAAGATCGGACGACGGCTGCTTTTACCTCCGTGCGGCGCAGAGTTCTACACGGATCCTTTCGCCTGTGGTTACCCAACCTGGTCTGCGTGGGCACACCTTGGTCCTGGGTTAGTCCTGGATTAGTCCTGGGTTAACACGGGTGTTAATGGGTGGAATGTTAACGGGTCCGGGCGGTTGCGGGGCTCTAAAAATGGACCCGTGCAGGACTCTGAGTCGGGTCACATTGGTCACGTGCGGTTATCGCGGTGGGCCTCTTAGTACCGCGGTGATTAAATATTGCAATTATTGCGACAGCCCTATTTGTATACAGGGATTTGTTTTTGCAGTAGTTTTGGGGGGTTATTTTTCCTGTACAAACATCGAGATATAGCGAAACATACCAAGGTTCTTTTTTGCTCCACATCACCCAGCCCCGTGTATGTATTGTCGCGTGGGAGTGGGTGAAGCGGACATGTGGGTGAGGTCTTGGACATAATCGTACAAATTGTAAGGAAGTAGAAAGGTCCAAAAAAATCTATTTTGCATAATGCCCTCTCTTTAAACTTATCAATGGTCTTAATGGAAATAAGGAAATGACTCTACTAGGGAAGTTACAGATCAGATCTATGGAGAGTATTTTTCAGCAATATTAAATCAATAAAAAACAAAGGCTATACACGTTTAGCTCCATTCTAGGCAAAGTAATAACATCTCCACAGAAACAAGCAAATGGCAGAACCCCGGCACAAAAGTTACACAGCGGCGCTTTAAGTATGTCAAAACAATCTGGATGAATATAGTAACATCTAGCAGCTCTCACTACTGCGCGAGGTTCTGTTCTCATTTGAATGTATGTGGGCCATCAAGGTTACATAAACATAACAGGCTCATCTTGCAGGCATATAGACAGACTGACGCTTTGAAGGAGCTCGCTGGGGAACTGTTTTAAAGCACTAATCATTACATAAGAAAACACCTTTTTTTTTTCATCTAAGTCGCTGCCATGGAAACAGCTAAGGAAAAAGAACAAGCTAGCAGCCTTCCCTTCCCTTCCCTTCGCTCGGCGTGTGTGTAGGTGTATGTGAGCATGTCCTCGGCGAAAAATGAAACTAAACCTTAAAAATTCGCAAGATATGAATGGCCCGGTAATGAGAGCAGACAATAACGTGCAAATTGAGAGCGGGGAGAGAAACAGAGCAAATGATCGTCACCGAGTTTGGTTACTTAAGTCATTACGCTCTAATGGCATTGAAAAGGCAACAATTACGGGAATAAGGAGACGGGGTTCTGGTTGTATATTGTCGAGTCGCCTGATTATGCTATTAATAAAGATGTTTATTTAATTGAATGTAATGTAATGTAATTTAAGGCCATCTAAGAATTTCCTGTGTGTAACTTAGTAGGAAAACCGCACGAAAGCACAGCAAATATCTGAATTTATCGTAACACTTAAGTTTAGGAACCATATATTAATATCTAGATAAAAGTAAAATGCATAATAAGTGCCTAATTACATCTTTGTTAGAATTTTAAAAGTACTTTCAATGCGTTTTTGTCTAAGGCTGCATTTTGCAAGTATTAAGCCATGAACTATTTTCTTCCCATTACAGTATTTTGGATTATAATAAATGTTTTTGTACATACAAGGCAATCTTAACAAGCGTTAATAAGTGTTAGATAAATGCCAACTAACAGCTAATTAACATACCAATTGGCACTTAGTTAGAGATTAAAATGTGGTCTCTAAACTAAAGTGTCACTGAATTTATTTCCCTTGGTAAAACTATTAAGGTTAAAGGTCCTATATTGCGTGAAATTGACTCTTTTGAGCTTTATTATAATTTTGTTATCTCCTCCAAAACAAACCTGGAGTTGTGTTTTGTTTCGTTCACACATGTTTGAGTAACTCTTTAATATTAGGCTATGTTCAGACTGCAGGGCTTAATGCTCAATTCGGATTTTCTATTGAAATCTGTTTTTTTTGCGAGGTCGTTCACATTTCCAATTAAATGCGACTTGTATGTGATCTCCAGTGTGATTTTAAAACGGTGCAAAAGTGTCCCACATGCACATTGGAGGACACGTGCTCAGTGTTGACTAAAGTCGCCTAAACACAGACGAGCACATCGAGTACCTGGCAATTTTAAAGTTGCTGTGGTACCGGAGCCAGAACTTGTACAGCTTATTTGTTTTAAGGAGAAGATTGAGAAGGACTAAACCGGTCTCAGTCCCGGTCTGGTCCTGGCCTCAGTCCTAAACCAGGTCTAAACCAGGTCTAAACCAGGTCTAAACCAGGTCTAAATGAACCAGGACTGAACCAGGACTGAACCAGGACTGAACCAGGACTACACCAGGACTACACCAGGACTAAACCGGTCTCAGTCCCACTCTGGTTCTGGTCTGGTCCCGGTCTGGTCTCAGTCCTAAACCAGGACTAAACCAGGACTAAATCAGTACTAAACCAGTACTAAACCAGTACTACACAGGACTACCCAGGACTACACCAGGACTACACCAGGACTACACCAGGACTGAACCAGGACTGAACCAGGACTGAACCAGGACTACACCAGGACTAAACCGGTCTCAGTCCCACTCTGGTTCTGGTCTGGTCCCGGTCTGGTCTCAGTCCTAAACCAGGACTAAACCAGGACTAAACCAGGACTACACCAGGACTACACCAGGACTACACCAGGACTACACCAGGACTACACCAGGACTACACCAGGACTACAAAGGTCTCAGTCCCACTCTGGTTCTTGTTTGGTCCTGGTTTGGTCTCGGTCTCAGTCCTACACCAGGACTAAACCAGGACTAAACCAGGACTAAACCAGGACTGAACCAGGACTAAACCAGGACTGAACCAGGACTGAACCAGGATTGAACCAGGACTGGAACCAGGACTGAAACCAGGACTGAACCAGGACTGAACCAGGACAGAACCAGGACTGAACCAGGACTGAACCAGGACTGAACCAGGACTGAACCAGGACTGAACCAGGACAGTCTACGCAGGTGCACCACTGGGCCCATCCCGACACTTCTGGGTCAGTCCTGGTCTGGCCCTGGCCTCAGTCCCAGTCTCAGCCCTAAACCAGGACTAAACCAGTGAAGTAGGAGTGTGGGGACGGGCCCGGAGGTGCGCCTGCGTAGACAGTCGGGTGATCAGGACACCGGGACCAGACCAGTACCAGTACTAATCAAAAAATTAAATGATCAAAAGATAAAGACACTATACTAAATTTATGATAACAAAACCATTTTCATACCAGCACCAAAGTTTTCTTGGTATAAAGAGTGGAAATAACAAACTGTCTCTCTGTTTTTCTAATTGTCCTCATCATCGCTGTAAAAATATGGAAAAATCTTGACAAATTTTACACTATTTTTGAACAGAGAAATTGATCAAGCCTGTCAGCAACACTAAAAGTCTAAGGCACAGGTGTCAAACATAAGGCCCGGGGGCCAGATCCGGCCCTCCAAGACCTTTAATCAGGCCCTCAGCTGACTTTCTACTAAAATATTTTACTGATATTTTCTATTAAAATATTGTTAATTTTCTGTGGTGTTTATCACAGCAGCGTCTCCAGCGTCTCTGTACGTGGCCCCTCCCACCAGAGCAGCACAAATGAAGACTTGTCTCTTTCCAAACGCTCTTAAAGGACGATCGTTTTGACTGTTGACCGTCACCCTCATCAGAAAAATGTCCAACATGAGAAAAGTGGAGCCGAGTGCAGGATTTTACAAGAAAAATTGACTTATTCCTGTTTACAAACAAGTTCATGTTAAAACTTTGTGTTGAAATTGTATTTTTCTTAAAGTTTCAGGTTGTTCATAATATTATAATATTTTGTAAAAGAAAGAGTTCATCAATTAAAAAAGATTTCTGTAATAGATTTGTGTTTCTCTGCACAAATACTTTGAACTTATTGTTATTTTTGGGTTTATATGACATGAGTTTTCTGATCCGGACACTTTGGATCAAAGTAGGTTGGATACAGCCCCCGGACCAAAATGAGTTTGACACCCCTGGTCTAAGGTATGCTTTCATGGGTAACAAGCTCCATAAAATGTACTTTACTCCATTTTGTACATTGTCTTGGGTTTTCAGACCTTCTAAAAACTCATGTGGTTAGATTTCCATATGCATGCTGCGCGTTGCCGTGGTAACTCTGATCCCCAGCGCACAGAAATCAATCAATCAATACTTCAAATTTGGGCTGTGTTGTGAACGAGAGCGACGGAGAAGAACAGTGGGACAGTTTTTGTTTGTACGAGTCCAGCAATTGTTTAAATGTGTGTGTCGATACTGTTGATTTCTTGTTAAAGTATTTGTTTGTTATTAGGGTTTTTGTTCTGTTTGAGTTAAGGATGTTTAACAGTTAAAACTCATTTGGACTGTGCTGAATTGCTACCAAAGACACGTCACCTTATATTATCTGTTGACGTTATGATTTAATATAATGTTGATACTTTGCCGCTCTTGTCATCAACACTGGCAGGGGGATAAAACTAACATGAGGCACTGCTCTGTCTGAAGCTCCGTTACTCAAGTTAGACTTTATTAATCTTTCTTCAACACAGTCTGACCATCTGATACTGGTATTGGATATCGGTGCAAATACTGGAAAAAAAAAAAAAAGCTGGATTGGATCTCGGCTTTCAAATATCGGTCCGGTCGATATCCTGGTTGAACACGAACATTGTTGTAATAAGACTGGTCGTAGTCGGCCCAGAAACTTTTATTTACACAAACCTGTTCTGTGGTTATTTCAGAGATAAACAACTACTACATATCACATCTGGATAAATTCTGTCTTATTTTATTTTTGTTTAAAGCAAAGAAGAATCTGTACTGGTACTGGCTTTTAATACAGTGTGAATTGTGAGGTCCTCTGTGTCTTTTATTTATTTACTTTATTTATTTATTTATTGTTTTTATCTATGAAGGAAGTCTGGGAGTTCCTGCTTAGACTGCTGCCCCCGCGTCCCAGACCCGGATAAGCGGAAGAAAATGGATGGATGGATGTTTTTATCTATTTTAAAGTACTGCTTTTATACAATGATTTTATTATTTTTGTTCATTATTATTATTATTTTATTTACAGATTTTTTTAAGTAATTGTTTTACATTGTAACTGCACTATGTAAAGCACTTTGGAAACTGTCTTGTTTATAAAATGTGTCATACAAATAAAGTTGGACTGGATTGGTATCGGCTGATATTGAGTATTGGCAGATACTTTAAGCTATAGTATCGAAATCTGTATCAGAACTGAAAAGGCGGGATTGGTCGGTGCATCTCTAATTATAATTTCAAGATAAATAACATTAGCCAACAGTTTTCCGTTAGTCATGCTCATCAAAAAATCAAACACAGGGTTCCCGCTCTTTTTCACTGACAAAATTTCAAAACTTTTCCATGACTTTTTAATGATCAAAACTGAATTTTCCATGACTTTACAGCACCTACATGTGTAGAATTGATCAGACTTTTAGGGATAAATATGAAATGTTAACTCTTTCCACTCACCTTATGGTTTGGTTTAATCATAATAGCCTAATGATAACTTAACAGAACGCTGTAGTAACGTGAAAGAGATTCCATGACTTTTCCAGGACTTCCATGACCGTGGGAACCCTGCAAACAACTAAATGTGATGATAAACCTTTTTTTTTTTTCTTATAACATATTTGAGAGTGTTTGCTAATGTGTGTATTGTCACTACAGAAGCTGCTGAACATTCTGCCATAGACATCCATGCACTACGTCTATGTCATACTGAAGCTGAACCATATTACTGGGCTATAGATGGTCGTAATGTCATGGAGACCTTGTGTTATTTACCTCGAGCCTCTTGATGACCTCCTTTGAAATCCTCCGTGTTGTTACTGACGCTGCGCAGGGACAGACACTCCCCCCTCTCGTAGAAGATCTTCAGGGAGGCGGGGTTAGTCAGCGTCCAGCCAATCACGTCCTTCGTCGCGCAGTTGAACACCACCTCCTTCGCCTCTTGATCCAGCACGATTATAAAGTCATTGGACACGGCCAGGAGCGCGTCCAGTTCCCCTCCGGTGCTGTGGTCTTCGGCGTGCACCTGCCAAGTCACCGCCCCCAAACTCCTCAGCTCCGCCCCCTGGTACGGTCTGGTCTTCTCTTTCTTCTTGTGAGCCAGAGAAATGAAGGGGAACTTGCCCGAGGGGTCGATGGGGGTGCTGGTGGTGTGGCGTTCGGCGAGGTCGCGTAGGTACTCCTGCCGGGTGCGCGTTGCCATGGCGCAGAACTTGTTGGATTTGTGGGCGGCGTTCTCGGCGTTGATGACCTTCGCCAGCAGGAAGTCCCGGAACACGGAGGACTTGGGGAAGGTGACGTTCTCGGGGATGGGCGGGCCGAAGGAGGGCATGTCTTTGGAGCGGGTGACGGCGACGCTGGGAGGAAAGAGACAAAGAATGTAAGTGTATGATACATACAATAAGAAAACAATATAGTTACATAATGTTGTACAAGTAGTTTATACCGTATTTTTCGAACTGTAAGGTGCAATAAGTTAAAAAAAAACACTTGAGACTGATCCCTTAGCCCATAACAATTTAAGTTTGTTTTTTTATTTCCTACGAGGAGGTAATGATGTGTTTAATGCAGCTTTGTGTACATTTGTTTACGTTTTACAAAATCAGAACTCTCCAGGTGGGTGGAGAGTCTCTGCCTGTGGAGGAGTTCAAGTATCTCGGGGTCTTGTTCACAAATGAGAGGAGGATGGAGTGTGAGATTGACAGGTGGATCGGTGCAGCATCTGCAGTAATGCGGTCGCTTTATTGGACCGTTGTGGTCAAGAGGGAGCTTAGCCGAAAGGTAAAGCTCTCAATTTACCGGTCAGTCTACGTTCCCACCCTCACCTATGGTCATGAGCTCTGGGTAATAACTGAAAGGACGAGATCGCGGATACAAGCAGCCGAAATGAATTTCCTCCGCAGGGTGGCTGGGCGCTCCCTTAGAGATAGGGTAAGGAGCTCAGTCACACGGGAGGAGCTCGGAGTAGTATCGCTGCTCCTCCATTTTGAGAGGAGCCAGTTGAAGTGGCTCGGACATCTGTTCCGGATGCCTCCTGGATGCCTCCAGGACACACTGGAGGGACTATGTCTCTGGGCTAGCCTGGGAATGTCTCGGGATTCCCCCGGAAGAGCTGGAGGAAGTGTGTGTGGAGAGGGAAGTCTGGAGGCCCTTCTCAGACTCCTGCCCCCGTAACCCGACCACGGATAAGCGGAAGAAAATGGAATGGAATGGAAAATCAAAACTTAAAACCACATGGCAAATTTGCATAAACTATAAGCGTTGAAAAAACTGCTCGCTCCTTGTGTGCTGATGTGGTCAGCTTCTGTTGGACTAAAGGACACGACTCAGTGAAATATGTGTTCTTTCTGCGACAAAGGCGATGGTGACAGTGTGCGTTGAGTCGACACAGAACTATGCTTCCCACTTTACTCCACGAGGCTCCTGACTACAGTAGCCTTAATGCTCCGACAATCCATGAAGCGGTGTGGCTTCGTAGCTTACCAAAGTCGTACTAAAACATTGACAGATTTTTGAGTGCCGTGTGCCACATATGATCAGTTTGAGGTCAGTAAGCACAACCAGAATTAATACATAATTAAATACATTAATTCGATATAATGTGACAGTTCACGATATTATTGTGAGACTTTTGACGATACAATATCACGATATTTCAGTTATTGTTACATCCCTAGTCCACATATATCCTTTTCATCATATAATCTATCGGGTATTTACTTTAACTCACCAGTAGATAACAATATTTTTTTGGTCAATGTGCTGCCTAAAGAATATGAGAATATGCACTTTATTTGAACATTTTAGTGAGAAACTGCATAAAAACTGACTATGCAGCTCTCTTATAAGATTGTAAAAAAAAAAAAAAAAAAAAAGAAGGGCCGTGGGGGAGATTGTTGTAAAGTAATTCAATAAAATAATCAGCAGAGTTTATCGACGATCTATGTGCTCTGGATTCTAAGCAATCAATATGGGCACTGGCCATGAAAAAATAAATCAATAAATCAAATAATAATCGGCCGATCTCTAGTTACTAATGTCTCTAACACTGTAGTTTTCAGCTAAAACAGTTACCACATGGATCACACATGAGGAATTTCACGGAGGCCCTGAGAAAGTTTCAACCTTTTTCTTCTTTTCAGAAAGATTTTAGAAAAAATGAATGGAAATTTAGTTCTGTAACCAAGAAGTGGGTGGTATCTGTTAGGCTTCATTCCTTCTCTGCATATTTGTATATTTGTTTACATCCTTTGCTAAATCATTTCAATCCATCTGAAAGTGTCCAGAGTCAAGGTCACTATTTCATCTGCAGAGGCTTGTTGGTCACTCCCTAACAGACTAAACTTTGAGTAAGCCTGTGGTATGCAGATCAGAGGCAGCGTGGACTGTCTGGTATGTGAAGAACTCCACAGAGCGCAGTGAAGAGGAAGCTGAGGAGGGAGAGGGGAATGCCACGCAGATCCTGTCCAAAACATCCCACTGAGAAAAATCCTGCAAGTGCTTTAGGACATTTACCCTGAGCTATATCCAATGAATTTAAAGGTCTTATATCACACAAAATTGATTCTTTTGAGCTTTAAGCCATGTTATAATGTTTTTACCTCCTCAATAACAAAACCGCAGTTGTGTTTTGTTTAATAAATCCTGGTTTTATTAGACTGTTTACATCTCCAAAGCTCAAATTGCTCTGTCCCATCGTCCCACGTAGCGGTAGTTTTCAAGTTAACAGATACCTTTTACGTTTAATTCAATAGAGATTGGCAATTCCAGATGATTCTAGTGAAGGTGTATGGAGTGTAAAAACACAGCTGAACTCTTTGGCTACGTTCAGACTGCAGCCTGAAGTGACCCAATTCCGATTTTTTGGCCCCTATGTGACTTGTATCTGATATTTTAATGACAGTCTGAATGACACAGATCTGATTTTTTCAAATGTGACTCAGGACACTTGGATATGTGCTCCTAAAACCGATACATATCTGATCTTTTGACATGCGACTTCAGTGTGAACGGCCAAAGTGCATTCATCCACCTACACGTTATCAACAAGCCACAAATGTCATTATTCTGCACTGAAGTAGGCGAAAATTGTTAATGAACTCCGTGTCACTGAAGCGACGCATCGTCACTCACCACTCTTGGCTACGTCTCCGCATCCACACGTTCCTTTCAACGGACGTTACTGCCACTGCTCCACAAACGCCACGGCCAAAAACCTCGTCCTTCTCCTTCTCAATCTCCTCCTTAAAACAAGTAAGTTGTTCATGTTCGGGCTCCGGTACGAGAGGAACTTTAAAATCTCCAGGTGCTCAATGCTCGCGTCCATGTTTGGACAACTTCCGTAAACACAGAGCACGCTCGCTGCGGTTGACGTCGTCGTGTCCTCCAATGCACATGTGGGACACTTTTGGGGCTTTTACTGTTCACACTGGAGTCACATACAAGTCGCATTTAATTGGAAATGTGAACGACCTCGCAAAAACATCAGATTTCACAAAAAAATCAAAATTGAGCATTAAGCCCTGCAGTCTGAACGTAGCCTTTGTGTATTATAACATGACATCACAAGGTGGAACAGGGTGTTTGTGGCGGGTTTGTGAGTTAAACATGCGTGAATGAAACAAAACAAAGCGCAAGGTCTGCTGCATAATATAGGCCTTTTAAGTTATTGCTACGCCAAGTATATTGAACAGAATGGCATTACATTTCTTCATGTTATTTTCCAGGAGACAAGCAAGTGGCAGCCATCAGGTTAGTTACAAGTCAGGTCTATGGAGAGGTGGCCCTGCTCACCTTAAGTTCAATAGAGATTGGCAATTCCAGAGCCGAAATGATCCATTGAATTGAATCCAAATGATACAGATTTGATGATAAAGATGACAGTTTCCGTTTGGGAGAAGAACTACTACGAGAAGTACTTATGAGAATAGAACAATAATAAAGTATCTGGATGATTCTGTCATTGTGAGCTTGCTTCAGAAAAATGAAAACCAACATGGGCCAACTGTTGATGACTTTAAAATGGTGCGAAGAATCATATCTACACCTAAATGTACCCAAAACAAAGGATAAGATCATTGATTTTGGAAAGAGTGCGCCTCAGAATGACGTCACATATAAGAAGGGGCAGTCAGTTGAGTGTGTGGACGTATCTTGAAACACTCACTGATTCAACATTGAGCTTTGATGATAATTGTGCTGCTGTGTGTTTTTAAAAGAGGCACCAGCGACTTCATTGTCTGAGGAAATTGTCCTTTTACCATGTAGACAGAACCATGATGACCCTGCTCTATAAAACTTTTATGGAACCAGTTTTAACTTTTTAATTGGTCTCATGGTTTGGGAGTGTCTCTGCTAAAAACAAGAACTCCCTGAATCAGTTGGTTAAAAGTATAAGTAAGGTGACTGTCCATCCTCAGAGCCGCCTGGACTCCTGTACTCAAGACAGGTACAGAGGACGTCCTAGAATATTTTAAAAAAACATGCAACACCCACTAAACTCAGAGTTTCAGCTGCTTCCCTCTGGTCAGAAGTTTTTAATCCCAAGATCTAGAACGAATTGTTTTAAAAGGTGCTTCGTTCCAGCTGCTATTGTACTTATGAAGAAACTAATCTATTTATCTATCAATTTTAGCACGTTTGTCTAGGAAAACTCATGTTTTTTTTTATATATTTAATATTTATTGTGATTTTAGGCAAGCGTGATGGATGAATTTAACAAATTGTTTACAGAACAAACCATTCTGCACTGGAGCTCTGTAACACTTTATTTGTAATTGTGTTTTTATGTGTTTTTGTGTGTAGTGTGGATGAATGAAAATATGAAATGTGGAACCTGCTTGTCAAATCTGCAAAACAAATTTACCTACGGGTACGAATAAAGCAACCTAACCTAACCTAACCTGAACTCAGCCTAAATATGCAGTGTTTGTGTGTTAAACGTGTGTAAATAAAACAACATTTTGATGAGCAAACAACATTATAACAGATCAGAAAATAACACACATATGGACCCTTTAAAAGCGCCAAATATAGCGTTTGAATAGAAATGGAAAACATAGAAACAAAACGTCTGTTAGTGGAAAAGTACACCCTTTATGACATATGTCTATAAAACAAACAAACCCATTCACGAGATAAAAGATCAGAAATACACGAAACGCCTATATCCTTTTAATAAACACGAGCTGCGCGGTATCTATGAGTCACCGCGGATTGCAAACTGAACTCTATTCCAGGTGAAAATTGCTGGTTGACAGGAGCAGAGCTAAAACGGGGCATAGTCGTCCCACTCGCCCCCCGCTGAATCGTCCTGGTATACATGCTGTCAGCGGAAATAATCGCATTTTTAATAAGA